TTTTTTTTTTTTTTTTTTTTTTTTTTTTTTTTGTGCTTATATGATAAGCGGCTTTTAGGTTTCATTGTTACAAGTTTTTTCCATTGTTGAATGACAGGTTACATCCATTTGCGTGTACGTTAACTGAGACGCGAGAGGGTTGGCTAATATAATGTTTGGAAGGTCAGAAAGGAAAAAAGGAGTGGTAGGATACCTATATAGAAGTATGTGTAGAAAATTGCAATTTCTGGTCTCGGTGATTCTTATCAGAGCAATCAAGATTAGTAAGTAAACTCCATTACATCTTAAGAAGATTCAAGGTAACGAGTAAACCAGTAAGGATGCGCCACCTCAAGACGATGGTTGAAGAATTAATTATTTACTTTTTTATAAGACCGTACTACTTCAAAGGACCAACCTATTATAATTCGTCTTTGCTGAATACTTGCCTCAAACAAAAACTTTTAAATGGCAGACCTTAAACAAGTTTTTACTTCAGATCAATTTGATGACAACTGTGCTAGAAAATTCTTCATACGAATTTCACCACATCTTCGTCTAATAAACAAAAATTAAACGTAAAACTTTCCACACCTCAAGTCCATGTAGAAAACAGGGATCACAGTTTAAGCCATGTTAAAAAGCGCCAAACGCCTAACATAGCCAAAATGTGGACCTATGAAGGCAGTAAAAAATAAGCAGTTGACAAATCTCTTCATTAACGACAACTTAGCGACATCATGTCTCTTGAAATGCACTTTTTAAAGCCATCTATTTCAGTAGCTGTCCTCAATCACCAGGACCTTAGACCACACAATAAAATTTGAAACAGTTGTTTGTTACTTGTTATCAAATAACTGACAATCAAAAAATTACAAAAAAACTTCAGCCACAAAAAGAAACAAGATAATTGCTTAGAAAATTTAAATAAGGAAAATGATTCATATGTACAGACGACTATTTTTTCAACGTCACGCCTGTTCCCATCTAATTATGAAATCAGGTATTGTAGACAAATTATTTCAAACCATTTAATAAAACTGTCTTGTAAAAAGTGCCTAAAAATCTTTTAGAAAATTTGATTTTCACAAATACTTTCAATGACATTAACCACTAAATGTGAGAAAAAGCAAATCTCCAATAACTCACGTTTTTATACTCTTATAAACAGCATCTAAAAAATAGAACTAATGCGAATAACAGAAATGATTTCACTTTAAAGTAGACTTATTGCTACGTTCATCTAGCAAGGCTTCGTTCATTCAAGGTTTTGGTGTTTAAATAGAAGTTTCTAGCTCAAATCTTATACGAAAATAATACTTTCGCGAAAGTCAAACAACAAGCAAGTCAGCGCTTCCGATAAAATAAATTTGTCCATATAAACACTGTAGCCTAACTTTCAAATCAGCTGTTACAATAATCACTGTCAAAATAAACAGCGGAAAGAATATGAAAGGCAAGAGAATCAAGTTCTACATCATAAGCAGTAACGAATAATTGCAAACATAATTTACAATTAAATTAAGCAAGCTCTATTACATATGTCGAGTGTTCCCAAAATTAATTCCTGCCGCATTTGCACCTTTATTTGATCCCATCTGAAGACCAATTATTGTGTCCCCACCACGTAGTTGTTCAGCAGTCCACTCGCGTTTTTGCGCTGTGGCTTCCTGTGAGATATTAGATTAAAAGTTGCAGATCAAACAATTAAAGAACCGTGATCGAACCTGCTGCTCTCAAACTATGTAAAGTGCATACTATCAATAGCATGCAATTCACTAAAACTTGTCACTAACTTTAGGTCCAAGTCCAGGTTTTCCAAACAGTTTTTCACACTTCCTAGCGACAGCTGCAAGGCACATTAAAACTCCATAAAGATCTGTTCCTTCAACCAAATCCACGGAGCGAAACAACTCCGTCTTATCTACAGCAGTTGCCGCAAATTCTATGAAGAACGATATGTTCTCCATCTGCTTGAATACCATTTTGCTAGTATTTATCTTCTTAACCGAGCCTGGTTTAAGGGCATTTGCTAACCTGAAATCCAAATACCTTATTTAAATTCCCAAAAAAGTAGACAAACAGTAAAAAAATTTAATTGAAAAATGAGTTCATACCTGGCGATTTATAGTTTTTTGTTTTCAAACTTTTATATTTTTGAATTTATTTGAGAAGTTATGGTATATAAATGATTTTTAAAGAGTCTATTGTCCGCTTGTTATTATACTTTACCTTCGTTTTACTCCTGAAGTCATTTTTAAGTTTCTTCAACTCAAAAATGGCCCTTTCAGTAGTTTTATTAACGAAGAAAAGTGAGTAGAGCTGCTGCACCCAAGAAACCAGCTAAGTATCTGCGAAGTCCTTCGTCAAAGAACATGTACGACCATAGTTTGTGAAATAAGACGGTAAAAAAAAAGTTTTTTCTGCTGCAAAGACCAGATATCGGAAAAAATCATCAAGGGTAATCTGGGAAAACCACTTTTAGTGCGGGTTTAGCAATTAAGGCTGCACGCTTAACGGTTATTTGGTACCCGCATGCAGTAAGAAAGGAAAAGTAAGGCAAAGAATATTTTCTTTCCCTGCAAAATCGCCACAGATGAGACATGCTCAGCACCGCAAAAATCTTCTTCAACAGTTCGAAAGATCAATTCATGGTTTTGGTTGTTATCCTTAAGAAAGAACGAGTGCCGTATGACGAAAGAAAAGAGAGCGGGTAACAGGTTAATGTCAATCACTTTATATTTAACAAAATTCTCTTATCACTAGCCTATGATAAAAATCACTGTTTGATGGCAAAAATGAAAAATTTAGGAGTCACCAGCAGCTTTCTAGATGCCGGTGATGGCATCAATGAGGAGTAGTACGGAAAAGAATTAGAAAATATAAGCCAAGAATAAAAAAAAAGCACTTCCAGTTTCTGAAAAAAAAAAAAAAAAGGGTGTATTGTAACGTCTGATATCATCGAACTGGATGCTGTAAGTATTTTGAAAAAAAATTGAGGAAGTCGAATATCAAAATTTGTTGTTTGTTCCGTACTCTCCAAAACCTTTCTATCGTGACGACCACCGTTTTAAAAATTTTTAAACATTCCTTGGAAAATTTACACATATGTCTTGCATGTAAAAACTGCCTGTTGCAATTTTTTGACCTTTAGGTTTTTAGATGTTTTTAAGTTATCAAGACGTTAAAACTGATACCAAATTACCAAGCTATATTTTTAAAAATATCTTTCCATGGCAGTACAGTAATGACATGTTTAAGTGAATGGTAATGAACGACAAACGTTCATAGATCTACTTAATAAAATTACTAGAATAATCATCAAAAAGTTTTTCCAGTCACTGTTCAAATGTAATACCGCAAAAACAAAAACAGGTCACTCTCTACAGTTACGAGTTTCACAGTAATTTGGATAAAAATATTTCGCGTGGCTGCATTTTAAATCACCAGCGACAAAGATGTAACATTATATCAAAGGCAAAAGAATGAAATGCTCCAGAATTTACTTTGGTAAGAAGTAAATTAATTCCTGAGATCTGTTCTTTCTAGCTAATCAATAATCTTTGAAGCTTGTGAATTAACTCCTCGCAAGAAACCACAATTTGGTTCCTTCACCCAATACAAATTAAAAAAATGACAGATATTTCCCTCCACTCGCAGCTCTTTCTAGGCAATATCTAGCCTCACTTCGCTAAGAAGCATTCAGCACTTTTAGAACTCCTGCTACTCTCCAAGAAACCTGATTTCGTTATAAGAACAGTTCTCTCTTTTTCAAGAAGATATAAGATCATTTTTAGAAAATAATTTGGTAAAAATACCAGCTATCTTACTTAATTTTCTTTCAGACGCGCGTGACGTTCAAACTTTATTCTGAAGAATTTAACTATGTTTCTTCTTCAACTATTCTTCTTTTACAAGCTAAGCTCACAAATCCACAAACTGTGAAGAAGCTTGTGAAATATAAATGCCATTTTAACAAATATTACTCTCCTCCCTTATTAGTTTCTATTTTACGTAAAGTTATTTTTAACTGAATACGATTCAGCGCTGACCGGAAAAAATTCCCTCCCGTCCTCTCCCCTTCAAAAGTCTGAAATCCTTTATCGATTTCCTTATTAATTTTTCTGTTCGTTTTTATAAAAAGAATCGCGTGAATAAAATGCCTTTTTTTTTGAGCTTCCATTAATGTTAATAAGCTGTAAAAAATAATTTAAAAAAATTATAATGGTAGCTGCTAGTCCTATTCTATGCTCCATTTTGCGTGCTTAATATTGGCGGTGAAGTGAAAAAGCAAAAAAAAAAAAAAAAATTCAGAATAGAAAACAAGTCCTTCGTTATATCCAGTCAAAACTCAGTAACTCAGATACCTACGACAGCTAACAATTCAAATAAAGCCAGTCAGGTCCATAAGTCCCATTCTTTAACTTTGGGCCTTTCAAACAGTCACTGAAATCAGTATATAGACATATAATCCTCTTTCTCTTAC